TCTGTAAAGATGTGACCAGAAATGAATAGCAATAGCCATTTTTGACCTAATAACTACAAGAACTAAAAGCCCTAGGAACTAAAAGTGAGGAACTACAGAACCATTCATGAGTTTCAAAGGATGAAGAGTCAGAGATGAAGCCAATTACATATAATGTGTAGGGGATAATGGGAAATAACACTAGAAAGGCAATGAGCTGTCTCCAAAATAGGAAGGATCTGCCTGGTGCTTTTCTTCCTGGTTGCTTTCCTGCTTTTAGTATTTGTCTCATCTTTGTCTATATTCCTCTTTTTAACATTTCAGTTAAAGGGGCTACAATAAAAACCGTCCTGAGTAAACTAACCGCAGTTGCATGTCAATGTTGAGACTATGCAAGAAGTTTCCTCCGAAGGCCAAACAGTCCACTGGAGTCAGCACAGCATGAATCCACCCTGCAAGATGAACAAATGGCAGAAGTGTAACCTATTTTTTGTTTCAGACTATTTTTCCTGTAACTAACAAAACAAACAGAAACACTATACCTTACCTGTCGGTATGAATAAGGTGTTTCCTTGTTTGACAGAACACTTGTAACACATATCAACCTGGTCTCCAAAGAACATCTCATTCTGGTTAGATGAGGAACTCCACCGCTCAAAAAGTGCCAGGTTGGCTGGTGTGGGTGAAATTAGGTAGAAGATTTTCTCACCCTGAATAGAAACAGAGAGACAAGCTCAAACCACAATTACTTCATGTTCTGTGGTGAGTGTAATTGAAGCTGCCCAAATATGAAAACTTATTTTTCCTCTTACCCTCAGGACATGGTACCATACTGAGGTACCTCCAAAGTCAATGTGGAAGTCTGTGTAGCTATCCTTCACTCCCATTAGGCAGTACTTCTGCACATTAGGGCGTTCAAACACAGACTCTTCAGGCCAGAGGTTTTCCACCCATGACAGTTTCCTCACAATCTTTGGAGTCTCCACCAAGTTTGACAGCCTAAACAAAGTCAGAGTGAACATCTTTAGTCTTTTACATTAACTGTTTGATAGAGAAGTAACAATGAACTCCAGTTACAACAAGCTGCAACATAATGATGGACTGACTGCTCAGTAAAGTACCTGGTCTCAGAGAACTCCAGGCTGATAACATTGAGCACTTTATCTCTATTGGGGCTGTTGTAGTATTCAACAAAGTCTCCCAACCGCATCTTTAGGTCACACTGGCGAGACACATTAATCACATCAATCTCTTTGTCTGCACCTGAAATAAGAACAAAATGAACAAGTTTGAGAAAAGTGTGGATGACTTAGAGGGGAGTAACGGTACGCATATTAGTCTCAAACCATTCAGTATGTAACTCCCTCGGTTCAGCACGCCCTGTGACCCAAACAATTACTGTCACTAGTCTGTTTATGTCTACGGCTTACATGTGCGGAACAGAAACTCTAGAGCTTGAGTTTTACCCAGAAAGCTTTGGCAGAGCACAAGTTGTTGTCTATCATGCTAGTTGTCTTAGCTGGGTTAGTCATGATCCCTGAGCAGCGGTTAGTGTCTCACTGTGTGTTCAAGTGCAGTCAGGTATGTCTGTCGAAACACTTCAAATGTGTAATTTACGACAGCATCACACCCTGTGACAATTAGTGGAACGAGACAAAAACAGACTGGCAACCACTCACTACAGATGTGGACCGTGTCAAAGTAAATGCTATAGAGTGTTTATCGCTGCGGATATGGGACCATACTCAGCTGCAGAAAACACAGGTTGAAGTATATGGCACTTGAGAGAATTTTAATCACAACGTTGTGCCCTGTATAGACAAGCACATGTTGCAGTTGTTTAGGAATTGTTAAAAAGGCAGAATCTTACAATGGCGCATTACTAACATTTGTCTTATTGACAATATGCCAGTATTTGAGTGCATTAACTGTTACAGTAAGAATTTAACAGAACTAAAGACCAAGCTGTGACCCCAAAATCAAGAATTTTGTGTATCGTTACAGCCCTGCTTTGTTATCACACCCAACACAACAGGGAACACAAACGTAAATTTCCCTAATACACATTAGCCTTAAAAGCTCTAAGAACAGTACAGATTTATGTATTTAAATTTAGTACTAAATATATCAAAACTTTACCGATGTAGTGCTCCACGTCGTTAACACCAAACGATGCTGGAGGAAGGGTCATGCCCAGCCCGTCCCGTCTCAGCACCATGACAGGAACACTGAATGAATGCTCTTCCAGGAACTCGACTGTCAGCTGGGCCCCAGACGGCTTCAGCAAGACCTCATCCGCACTGTCATAGAAACACAGACAGACACAAGCACAAGTTTTGATTATAATCACAGAGAAAAAATATTCAAAACAGAATGCATTACAATTATGTTACAGTAAGTTTTGGTACAATATAACGCAATCAAGTGGAGTTCCTTATGTCCATATCTAACTTTTAGTTGTTGGAACAATATGGGATGTGCTTTACAACCAATACATTTAATGCAAGTCATGGTTTTAAACGTAAACTTGTGAAGAACAAACTTTGCAAGTCTTTGCAGGACAATTGGAAGAGACTTACTTTGGAAAGGTACGGCTCCGTAGCTCCCTAACAAACTGTGGGCTTCCTGTCTTAACAGGTCGACTTGGATCTCTCGCTCCAGCAGCACCACCATCTGTCTGCTTATTGCCTCCACGGCGTTTGCGCACTGAGGAAAAAGAGAGACAGAGAACGAGATCAGCAAGTGCATTATTATGTAAAAGTAAACCGATAGGATCATAAGAAGTTAAGAAAGGTATAATTAAGGAATGGTAACTTACTGACAGATGGCCCATGGGTGACCTGACAGTTGGGGCAGTGATACAGGTCAATCTCAGCTGCTTTGTCCTCCTCTACTCCAACACAGCTACACAGAAAACATATGTATTGTATCAGACAGAGAATTAAACAGTGTCAAACAAAGAACAGGTTGCCAAAATGTGATGGATCAAATACAGAGTATACACACAGAAATGATGCAACTAAGACAGATATAACCACATCTTAAATCACACATTATATCTGAATCTCAGTGCAGACAACAGGGTTTAATCTGACAATGACCTACCTGCCATGGAACCAGTCTTGACAAATGTCACACTCAATCATGAAGCGTGTCACATCATATGGCAGGCGACACAAGCAGTACACTGGCACTGATGCCATATTGTGTGTGTGTGTGTGTGTGTGAGAGAGAGAGAGAACTAGCTTTCAAGATGTCTTAATAAACCAAAAGTTGTATTAACTATGTAGTAATGATGATGTTGATGACTGAACTGCAGGTCTATCACTCCACTTCCAGATTCCTGTTACCGGTATTCACTCGGAAGCCTGTGATAAAAATATAGGAGATAAAAAAAATAAAAAGTTAATAGCTTGTAAGACATGACAATAATGCAACTACATTACAATCTCATTTGTGAGTACTGACAGCACTTGTAAAAGTAAAACACTCATGCAGCCTGAGATGCGAGCTCAGTCAACTAGCTGAGTAACGAAACTAGTCGTTTCGGAAGCATTACTTTGTTCTAAAGAGTATAAAACAATTTCATATTCTTGAATATAGCTGCATAATCTGAGAGGCAACAGTTATCTTAAACCCGTCCCAGACTTTAAATTAGAAATCTGTTTTCTACTTCTAACTAGTTGGTAACAGTAGCTAAGTGGTGGGTCGTAACGTTAGCTCGCTGTTTGTAAACACGCTAAGGCCGTGAATGTTGTATTGCTATCAAAACACTAACGTGTTTAGCATGTGAGCTAACGTTAGCCCCTGCTAGCCACCGATGTAGCTAGCCTCGGCATTTCAGAAGATGTTAACTTTAACCTGCACAAGGAAACAGTTTGTGCAGTTAATTTAGCGTTTAAAGTGGCGAGGGATGCTATATGCACCCGATGCAGCTGGTTCATTTCAACCAAACAAAGGAGCGTCGTTTGTTAGCTCAATTTATATTTAACGCTAGCAACTTACCGACATCTCGCTGCGGCAGGCCATGCATCCAAAAGCCGTCGTAATCCCTAGGAAACCCCGGGGGTAGCTGCGGCCTTATTATGCAACGTAAATTATTAGCAATTTGCTTTACAACATTTTTGTTTATCAACTCCGTAAAGCCTAAATATAGAGGCCAGGCCCAGCAAATTCACTGAACCAGAAAACTAAAATCTGACGCGACCTAAACGACCATAATAACTACAAATAACGGCGTATTGAACTACATCAACGCCATTTCAAAGGCAGTCGTAACGTCAGACCGTTGTTCGTCGCTATCTGCCGTTGAAAGAACAATAAAGTTGCGGACAGTCAAACGCGGAGTTGCATTCAGGAAAAACACGTTGCGGAACGTTTATGCTACCACAAAGCTGCGGAAACAATTAGAAATAGCCTGCAAACTTGATTTATTTGTAAGTATATAGATAAATAAATTAATAAATATATACGGAGTTAATAAAAGTTAGTAAAATTAAAGTTAATTATCTTGTGGGCAAAGTATCCTTTTTTTACTTTAGACGCTCCGTAAGAATCAGCTTGCAGCTGGTTTGATATTTTTAATGGATCAAATTGAAAATTTCAATAACTTATTTGAATAAGTGCATACTATTCTGTGCTAATGTAGTGCATACTTCAATCATCAATCAATCCGGCTTTTTATTGCATTTGTTAGCCATTTTGTGGGTAGTTTGATTGCTGGGTTATGACATTATGTTCATTGTGATGGATTAGGTTAAAATATTACACAAATTAATTTTCACTTTTCACGCAAAAAAACTTTACTGGAAGGAATATAGTTTATTGAAATGTGGAAAGTATGCTGTTTTTTTAGAAAATGTAAAGTATACTACATTTATATCACATATAAGTGGCACATAAATGTGACAACCAAATGACTCTGCTTGGCCTTCACACTGGTCTAAGTAAGTGTAGTTTGTTGTATCTGGCTTGCCAAGCTAAATTATGGCATGTAAAAAAAAAATCACACAATGTCATAATTTGATGTTTAACATCATTTATTTTGATTAGTTACAAAACATAAATAAAATCAACAGTTGAATTAGTTACAATTTACAGAGGCTAAATCACCAGCAACAACATACTTTATTTTTCGAGGTTTCTCTGCCCAAATGTCCTTTTACCATTGGTTCTCATTAATGCCATTTTGGGACTCCCCGGATTTTTGTTGCATTAATCTTAAAGTTTATTAAATCTGACCTGCAGCTCAGCAGGAAGGCATATGTCATTCTTTAATGTATCTTCCAGGTTAAAAACTGACATAAGGTGTCAAAAATTACCAAAAATTCTCTGAATATAATCTTAAATGACCCTGGCCTGTCAGGACTCAGAGAGGTATATCAAGGCAGGGGAGTTCCATGTAAACAGGGATGAAAACCAGTGTTTTCTAGTTTCAAATAACCTCCGATTTATAATGATGAGAACACAATTTTACAATTTGTACAACCCCATTTCAAATACAAAAATAATCTTTATCTTTGAGATAACATTTTGGTAACACTTCAAGGACAAAGCCAGCTCCACATCATGAATAATGATAATTAAGCTGTAGCTTGCAATCAACATGTTAGTATCAGACATGACAGCACAGTATCTCACCTTCACTAATAATGAACTACATCTCTGTGACAATGTGGGTTGTCTTGAAAAGCAACAAATACAGAATATCGTTGTTATATTCTAGATTATGCAATTGTGGTTTCTGAACAACCATAACCTTTAGCACAAACTATTCCTCCTTAACAATTCATGTTTTAAATCACTTTGACTCACGTTTAGCAGTCTTTAACAACCGGTACAATCTCCTGTTTTCAGTGGCACACAATCTCTCTATCATTAATAAAACAAAAATGCCGTTTGACTACAGGCTACTTATTATGCCAAAAAGTGAACGCCTGACCATTGAAGGTCAAATGTGTGTATGGCTAAGTGCACTGATAACCCAATAAAATGTACAGTAATATATCAGCTGCTGATATATTACACTGTGCATCTACAAATTAAATGAGTTTAGAAATAGAGGAATGGAGCATTTTTGACTAGAGTAAACCTTTTTTGCAGTATGCATAAAGCACAATTATGGCCCACAGTTCAGCTTCTGACAGATGCATTCACACTGACAGCCTATTGTCAAAGACTAAAGAGTTTACAGTTGAAATAAGGAATTAGTCCAGTGCTGAACAAAGTTGACAAACAGGCAAGTGAGGATCTCACAAGGGTGTTGGACATTAAAATTACAACTGGTATATGCTCTAACCTCTCACTTGTTTTGTTGTCTTGAGGAAACAAGCCCAAAACATAGTCAGAGTAAACATTTTCAGATGTGTACAGTGACATTTGAGAGGCCGCTTTGAATGAAACAAACAGGGATGCAGTTTATAATGCAATATACCATGGGACTATCACAAAGCTTTGTCACACAGAAAAAATATACACTCACACACCCACAAAAATGAAGTAATTTTAAAAGGCAATATGGGAATAATCCATATGGTCTCCCCAGTCTATAGTAACTTGGCAGTTTTTTTTCTTTTTCATATTCCTCCTCAGCATGACACCATGGTATACTTTGATATGCAGAGCTCAAACTGAAAGCAAAAAATGTCAAATGTGAAAGCATATCATACTGAAAACAAATTTATTCATGACTGATGAATTATCTCAGTAGGCTGCAAATAGTAAATGTGAAATTCGTGAATATACAGCAAGTGCAAACAGTTTGCACTCAGGCAAGTCAAGTTAGTCATAAGGTCATGCAGTCTTGAACTGAGGGTATCCAGGTATCAACTGAACATAGATGGCGTATTTCAATTTACCATCGTATTATGAATTAATCTTAATTCATTATATCACATCACTCATGGTAATTTAGACAGTTTCTATGTTACAACTGCTAAACATAAAATAATACAAATGAAGCACATGCTGTACCCGTGCACAAATACTGCAACGGTGCATTTGGTCGCATTGTGGTAATGATGGTAGCCAGATAACTTTGCCGTGCTCTTCTGCTAAACATGCTGTTGTTTCATTTTTTTTTCATTTCCCATTGAAACACCTTTTGCTATAGGCCTATAGTTTTTAAAGGATCATGTAACCATCATGAAAAGATTCTCTATGCGTCTGGTTTTTATCCATGTGCTTCTACAAAAATATTTTATGCCTTACAGACAAATTCATACAATACATGCTGATCAATTTAGATGACCATTACTAATTGCACTTTTAAAATTGGTAGTCCTTTCACTGTAAGCATTGACAAATTAAACAAAAAATGTCAACACACTGTCAAATATTTTGTCCTTCTTGTCTCTGCTAAGGGAGAGTTCGGGTCCAACTGTGTTGGTTTAAAAACAAAAACATGAACGTTAATTTGTGTAAAAGGACATAAGGGATATGTACTCGGATAACCCATTAACACTCACACGCACACTCATAAACGCACACAATCATACATTTAAGAATTTATACATCTCAACACCCAAACATACCATGATTCATAAACCCCAGCTGCTGTGTTCCATATTACCCTCTGTCTGTACATACTAGGATCTATCGTCTCTCACATTCACTCCTCATCTCACCCAGAAGTACACTGGAATCCATATATTCATCGCAGTCACAACTCCTTCATGCATACACAGAACTAACACTCCACATGGATCTGCGTTACGTCCTGATCCACTTAGTATTTCCATCTCTTGCACCTTCATATTGATCTCACACTTCTCCATGGTTTCATTTCTGTCCCAGAGGAAGAGTAGAGGTGGGGGGTGTAGGGTGAATTTTGGCACTGGAAGGTAGAGCAGCAGTAGAACAAGAAGAAGAAGAGGTGGAAGAAGATGAGGAACAGGAGCAAAATGTTCCACCAGTAGCAGCAGTGCTATCTGTGGGTGCAGTGGCGCCACTGCCAGGCAGCAGAGGCGCGGCCGTAGACACCGGAGATGTGGGCATTTGGGAAGGCAGCAGTGGTTGGCTTTGAGGTGGTGAGTGGGGCAGCTGGGTGATAGGTTGTGTCTGTGGTAGTGACTGAGACTGTATGGGAGTTTGCATCCGGGGCTGTGGTATCTGTTGGCGGAGTGGGGACTGTTGATAGGTCATCTGCTGGAGAGGGAGAGACTGATGGAGTTGTAAACTTTGCTGCATCGGTGGCACTTGAGCCATGTGCGTTTGTGGTGGTGGTCCCGGAGAGTGCAGGGTGGACAGGCTCCCTCCTCCTGTGTAATGGGAAGGGGCTGCCACTGGCAAGCTGGCAGGGGTCGGGGTTGCCTGGGGGTTCAGTGGTGCCACTGGGAACCAACCTGGTGGAGCCACCTGTATAGAATATAGTAATAGGATTAGGGGAATATTATTGCACGGACATAATGCGTTGGTATTGTTGGTTCTTGAAACAAATGTCACTCCTATCCTTCTGCATTTCATTCAAAGCTATTTTGCTACTCTTAATTAGGATAATCAGTCTTTCTTCTTTTGATCAACTTTCTCTTCACAGCATTTATGATAAAACATCAATAATCTGTTTGACCATATATTAAAGTTTTTTTTTATATTGTATTAAAATGGATGCATATTATAATGTGTGGGCCTACCTCAGCCGGCTGGCTCCAGCCTCCCAACTCCTGTACCTGCTGAATCTGTTTGATTTGATTCAGTGAAGGCTTGGGGGGGGAGGGGCCGACCGTTTCCTTTGTCCAATTATCAACGAGTTTGTGCAGCTCATCTGTGAATGTGCTTTTTCTTAGAGGGCTGTGATCTGTGGAAAAAAAAGAGATGCATCATACCACTGATTGCCATTGAATCATGTATTGTTTCGATATGTCGATCAGAAACTGTACCTCTTTTAGCAGGCAGTGTAGTGTGGTGTTCTGGGTTGCAGTACAGGGGCAGTCTACTCTGTTCACCACCTGAGTAACTACTTGACTGCTGAATTCCTGGACAAGAGATACAAGAAACAGTTACACAGAGGGCAAGCAACAGAAAACAGAGAAAGAGAGAAATAACTGATACAAATCCTTACCAGAGTGCGTAACTCCGTTGTTATCCATGTGAGAGTGAGGCCGAGGTCGGAGCTTGATTTTGGCTGGCCTGGGCCTACGGGGAGAGAGGACAGGAGGTGCCGTGGGAAGGGGAGGCGTTCGGGACAGGGAGGCAGGCAGACTCTGCCTTTGGTCTTTGAAGGAACGGAGCTGTCTGTACAGTTCCTGCAGCTCTCTGTTCTGCTGGGCCTGAAGGGATACCACCTCTTTGATGTGCCTATAGAGCAAGAGACAGAAAGAAGAAAGAAAGAAGGTGTTGAGAATTCTGAGGCTCAGTAAATTCTTGAACTGAAAATGAAAATCTAAAAAAAGTGGCAAACAATTCAAATTACATAATTCTAAACTGCAAATCTTTGAGTAAACAACATTTGTTATATAAGCAAACTGACTTACTTCTCCCTGAGCTTGTGTAGTTCTTTTCTCAGGTCTTCGTCCTCCAGCTCACTCTCATCATCATCATCACTGCTCCCTAAGGGTGAGTGGCTGTGCCCATGACCTCGAGGCAGGTGAGCCATTGATGGGGTCCTCTTACTTTCTTCCTTCTCTCCCTCCTTTGCCCGAGATTTCCTTCTATCCCTCTCCAAATCGGGAGACACCGGGGAACTGTCAGTGTGCCTGTCCTCTCTCTTAGTCTCAGCCTGGGTTACAGAGAAGCGTCCCACTTTCCTGTGAGTGCTTCCATGGCCTGATGCCGCATCCTTCGGGGGAGAGGACTGGGGCACTGGAGTCACCTGATGGCAGCAGATATGGGAGACATTAGCTGCTTGTCCAAACTGCAATAAAAGGTTCAGACTAATGAGTGACAAAGATAAAACGAGTACAACTGCTCCTACCTGAAATCGCCCTTTACGTGACTGTGGTGGATTTAGTGGTGGGGCCTCTTTCTCCTCTCTGAGTGTCTGACTGCTGGAACGTCCATCTGATAAAGAAATAGGGATGAAAAACAAAAAGGGCAGACAAGGACCCAGAGACAGGAACACAGAGACATGGGTATAAAGAGCACATAAATGAAGAGGTGGACACACACAAAAGCAACAGACAGAAAAATGTACACGACAGAGACACATATAGACGCACACAGATAGACACGGGGCACGAACACAACACAAAGGCACAGTGTTAAAAATCACCCACCAATGTCACACATCATCAACTTTGTGACTTACATGGCTTGCATGCAGGTCAATGAAATGTGTAAACATATGTTGGGTTCTATGGCAGTCATTTTTGGAATTACAAACAATAAACAAGTGTACATTTTTGTGAATGTAAAAATACATACTTTAGAGAAATATGAAATGTGTGTGTGGGAAGGGGTGTTAAATGCTTGTTTCAATAAAAACATAATTAAAGTAAGTCATTAAATAAACAAAAAACATATTGTGAAATGGCAGTTGAATGTTAACAACAGTGTACCCCCACCCACCCACACATCCACACTCTCATTCTCACTGGCTCACCATATTCCCACTCATATACCAGACAACAAAGCCCAATATCACATTTGCGATCTGGGCTCAGATCCACAGTGATATTGTTCAGTGTGTTTGATATTTGGGATTACTACATTAGCAAAGTGTGTACATGGATAATAACTGCATAATTTTAGACCAACATAGACATTTGCAGCCTGATATAGGTGTTACTTACAGATAACGATCCATTATTAGTCACTTGTGCAGAACATAACATGCATGTTCATGCATGTGCACTTGTAGCAAAATATACTCTGAGCTACTGTTACACATATAACATATATAAACACAAACACATGCAAGATGGCTGGAATAGAGTGTGATAAAGCTTAGCTATATGAAAAGCCTACCCATGTACAACAGAACCTGAGAGTAGCTTGTAAGCCCCGGGTAATGTGCACAATATATACTAGAAATTAGTGCTGGGCGATATACCAGAATAACAGGAATACCAGTTTTATTTCCTGTATGATATTCATTTTTCATATACCGCCATACTGGTGCATAGCCGAAGCAACCGGTAAATATTTGAGAAATATCACTTTGAATACTTAAATATTATATATAGTATATAGTTTTATAGTCTTTATGCAACTACCTTTAATACTTTGTTTTGAAAAGGAAGCAATGTTAAAGTTGTTTGCATATATTTTATATTTAAGTTAAGTTACATGTTATTATTTAGGTTGTTTTTATATTCTACTGCATGTACTCCTGACAGTAGAATAAGCCACTATAAACCTATAAAAAAACAAAAACAAAAAAACCCTGTCATATACCATGAAACCACAAGAATCTTGAAAAATACCGTGATACAAATTTTTGGTCATACCGCCCAGCACTACTAGAAATTATGATTTACATCATAATCTGAATATTTCATACAGATAATGCAAATGAAAAAGTAATCTTTATAAATGCATCTACTACAACTACAGCACAGAGTCTCATGGAGCAATGCTATACTGTATGAGCTGAAACAGAAAGCGTACACATATTCTGAACAACGACTGATTACATAATATCAGCTGAGCAAGTTAGCATCTATCTTATCTGTGTAATGACGTGAGTTGCATGGTGCTGTCTACACTGAGCCAGCAGGTGGGGGTGAGGAGGTGAGATGGTTGCTGCTGGCAGTGCATGTGGCAAAAAAGGGGGGTGTCATATGAAGGCATATGTCCTGGGCACAGGCACAGCTGGGCTTTACTCCAGAGCTCATCTGCACTGGGATGGGCATCAGATTTCTGATGCCAACCTCCTCCTATACTGTGCCAATCTTCCACCCTCCTCTACTTTCCACTGATCTCGCCCCTGGGTGAGTAACCCATGCAAAAAGAAAGATTGCCAAGACAATTAAATTAAGCAAAAAGAAATTCAGAAAAAAAAACAATAATGTATGTAGTGATGTCAACACTGACATTACATGGAGACTATTGTCACAATATACAAAAACAGGATTTATTAGCTGTAAACATAAACATCTTTTAACATTAACAGTTATTAATTCCTTATGGTTAAGAAAGTTACTTTACTATGTTAAAACTAGTACTAGATATTAGATTTAGGCCCATGCCCCAACATCCCATTCTCTCTCTCTCTCGCTTGCTCGCTCCCTAAGAGGACGCTACCTTGCTGGACTCTGGGCTTCTTGAACAAGCTGGCGGAGTGGCGCAGTTTGCACGCCCAGTTTTTGAATTTGCGAGTCCAGGATTTCTTGCTAACAGGATTTCTGATACTAGGACATGTCAGGTTTAGGCCAAAATATCCACCTCCTGCATTGTGCTTCTGCTGTCCATGCCGGAGGGGGATCGGGTGCTGATTGGGGGGCCACGATGCATCTCCAGTGGTACTGGTGTCAGAGTGTGGGGGTACAGCCTAGAACAGTTAAGACAATTAAGAGTGGCTGCATGGAGTGGAGACGTTCAAAACGGAGAGACACTCAAACATTTAAACATAACAAATATCACAGACAGCTGAAAAAGAACCTAAGTGGAGTCACAATTACAGCTATACACTGAAATATAAACAGTAAAATCATGTAAATTTAGTACAGTGAAAGACAATTTGAATAGAGAATGTACTCAAAATCACATCTGTGGTCTTCACTCACAAGAATGGTTGGTTCTCCTGGTACAGGTGGGCGCTGGGGCCCAGCAGAGTCATCCTGATTGGGAGGCAGAAGAGAGGTAGGCGGGGTGGACGAGGCAGAGGTGGAGGGGAGAGATGGGCCAGGCTGTTGCTCCACTGGGCCCAGTTCCGCAACGTTGGGCGCCTCTGAGGAAGCCTCCTCTCCAACCCGATCCCTCTCCGGGTCAGGGGAGGTGGACGAGGACCGGGAGGTGGTGGAGGAGGTTGTGGAGGATGAGGAGTGAGGGGAAGTATCTGAGGAGGAGATAGGTGGGGGGAAAGACATGTGGTGGATTGATTGTGGCTCAGATGACTCGTCTCCTCCTGCTGATGTAGAGGCAGCGGACGTAGGCCCAGAGGCAAGTCCCCCAGCCAGCGCTGCCCCACTGCTATACTCCTGATACAACAAATTCCTCAGCTTTTCATCCAGAGTCTTTATGCGGTTGTCTACGAATTCAATTTTGGGGGGGCCTTCGCTGTCTGACTCGGCCACAGAGGAGGGCTGAGCAGGTGATGGTGTCATTGTGAGGGAGAGGGCGGGTAAGGGGGCATCAGTGGAGCCCAGATGGAGAGGTGGCAGAGAAGAGTCAGAAGAAGGGTGAAAAGGGGCAGAGTAGCTGCATGTGTCCTCTGTGACACTTGTCTCTCCTGTGGACACCTCCGACTCTGACATCTGTATAGAGGACTGCTTCTGCAGGGGGAAATTCTGCTGTTTCTGGGGTGTCTCCATGGCTTTAACCGCCTCTTGTTGCTGCTCAATGTGTTGCAGCTGTATCTGTGACTGTATATTTTGTTGGGACAGCTCAGCAGGAATTTGGGTTTGTTGTGGAATCTGCTGTTGTGGTACAGGACTAACATTTAGCTGTGGCTGCTGTTGAAGGAACTGTTGACTAATCGACAGGGGCAGCATTTGGCTTTGATCTGGCTTTAAAGCCACAGTACCCATAAACAGCTGATGTTGCTGCTGCTGTAGCTGCTGTTGCACCATTTGCTGTTGCTGTAAGTGTATTGTCTGTTGTAGGTTTAACTGTTGCTGCTGCTGGTGATCAATGTGGGCCTGCTGTTGGGGCACCACAGCAGCTTGGGGTGCCATTACCTGCTGGGGTAACTGCTGTAACTGAGGCTGTTGCAGCAACTGCGGGGTATACTGTGGTGTTTGCTGTTGAGGAAGGGGTTGTTGGGTCTGCTGTAGGGACACTGGGGTTGGAAACTGCTGCAGAGGCACAGCCTGTTTTAACAACTCTGTATTACCTGGTCGAGGCAGCACCTGCACCTCAGTCAGCTGTTGTTGAAGTGGTATTTGTTGCTGCATTAGTTGCTGATGTTGCAACTGCTGGAGAGACTGTTGCAGTGCTCGTTCCTGCTGCAGCTGAATTTGTTCTTGATGTTGTGATTGCAGTTGCTGCTGTGGTGTTGCCTGCTGTAACTGTTGTTTAAGCTGCACTGCCGGCAGTTGTTGTTGAACGGCTGGTACCTGCTGCTGTAATGGAGGCTGTACCTGTACCTGTACCTGTAGCTGTGGCTGCGGCTGTGGCTGTGGCTGTGGTTGTTGTGGGGCGGGTTTAACCACCTGGGTGAGTGTCTGCTGCTGCTCCATGCCAAATTGGCTTACTGCTGAAGGGATCACCGCAGCAGCAGGAGGAGAGGAATAAAAAGAAGTTGAAGACTGGTCCGCTGCAGGCACACATGACCTTGGAGCGGTTATCACTGTATCCCCTATACTTTGACCTACAATGGAGCAACCACTGGTTCCAGGAGAAGTAATCATATCTGGCAGAATGGTGGTGGGAGTAGGGGACACAACAGTAGGAGCAGTGGACAAGGCGGGGAGGTTAGCAACAGCAGGTATTGCTATGGATGAAGGAGCACTGGGAATTTGGTCAACAGAAGCTGAGGTGAGGATTTCGAGACCACCTGAAGCAGTGACAGGGACAGATGCTTCAAGTGTGGAGGCTGGTGCAGAGATGCTTTCAGAAGCAGCAGTGTTAGGAGCCAGGGCAGCGGTGGCTGAGGGGGCCATGGAGACAGGGGCTGAAATAGTGGAGACTGGAGGGGAGGTTGCAGAAAGGGTGGGGCAGGGGGGAGAGGTCATTCCAGTCAAGGACTCCAGACTCTGGGATCCTTCACTTTCTACAGCTGCAGAGATGAACACACGGTTAGTTTGATGTTATGCTGCCAAATCAGTCATGTTAATAAGCCACGACGTAGAGCTCACCTTTCTCCATTTTAGGAGACTGAGGTATTCTCATCTCTGAAGTGGGTGGTGGAGTGCCTGCTCCCTGGCTGGATAGAGAGTCTCTATGGCGGATGGTCTGGTTGATAAAGAAGCGCCAGCGTCCCACTGGGGAGGAATGGGGCACTGAGTCCACTAAAAAGGATATTTTACTAATTATAATAAGTTAAGAACATACAGAATGTTCTTATTTTGTAGAGCCACTTTTTGTGGATAAGAATATATTCATAACTCACCCGAAGAGCTAGTGGGAGTGCTCACATGCAGCTGGTCAGTTGATCCAGTCTAATAAATAAATAAAGATTCAATTTCATCAATATTTCATCAAAAACAGAAAAAAAGAGAGGATAGAAGGTGCTGAATGGAAATATGGAAATCCATACCACGTACCAGTGAATGTGTTTGAAGAATTTCATGAGCTTTCTTAACTATGGCTCTAAGTTCCTCAACAAATTTCTCTTTCTCTACATCAAGGACAAAGTCCTCCTCGACCTACAAACAAAATGCAACCAAACAGCAAGTATTAAGACATTAAATGATTACTTTCTAGCAAGCAATGCTGACTATGGTAATACATGAGCAGTCTACCATGTAATCTGCTATGTCCTCGGGTGCATCCCCTTCAATGTCAAATTTAAATGTCACCATCTTGTTGCTATGTGTCTCCAACTGGCATTCCACCATATTGTCCCCACTGCCAGACACCTAGGAAGGACAAGACAAATTAACATTATATACCTGTCACTTTCAAAAACTATTGGTTTACACAAATTTGCCAGTATAGGTGGTTATATAGGATGCCTTTTTCACCTGGAGCATGCTCAGTTGAAACTGATGTGAAACTTTCTCAGGCCTCTGGCAGGAAGCTCTTCTTTGAGCTTTTAATTTGTCAATTTTCCCATTGGCCAAGAGCTGGAGAGTTTCTTCTCCATTAGCTGGAAAAGACCTGTGGGTGGTAAGGTAGTAGGGTTGTTACACATGGTCCCGTAAATGACAAGTCTGTGAGTCACTGAAAATAAGAACATTATCTAAATGTCAAATGTATACATGTAATTTATATAGTTATTGATGACCTTCACATTTGAGTATTTCATAACAAAATGAACCTAAGTCTAAATTATGGACTTCCACTCTCATTATACAGGTATATTGAAAGACATCCCATAGGTATGAGCGATACGGATAAACAATGGGCCTCATGCACAGATTTATTCTAACATGGCACATACAAGTGATTGAAGAGAATTTGTGGCATTCAGCAATTTTCTTGTACTTAGTTTTCTGAGGTATGAATGAAATCAGATCACAAAAAACACTAATACACAACAAATGTTCAGAATCTCCCAGCACAGTACTCATGTAGTTTTTGTCTGGACCGATGGACATACTGCATGACTTCCATGTACTGTTACCAGTAAACAGAGAAAACATCGGCCAGTAAATGATATCAGACATACCCTGACGAAGAATGACGTTCTGTGCTTGACAGGTACGGACCATCCTGTAGAGTAATATGAATACAGACAAAAAGGAGTACGCAGGCACACAGAAAAAAAAAACACAAAAAAACACAAAAAAACATTAGCAACATCAGATGCAAGTAAAGCTATGATGTAATAATGGATACTATTACATTTAATAACACATTTACTGTTACATGAATATACTCAATTCTCAATATGTTTTAAGAATTAAAACTATTAAAACTTGTTAGTTTGAATCAAAAAGGCACAATCAAAGCTTTTTCAAATAATTAGATAGCAGTATTCTCAATCATTCTGCCAGTATGTCAGCAAAGTAAAATGTTTTCTTAATTAATACAGCAAACTTGTATTCTTCCTGTACCTGAGCAATGCCCAGCAGGGAAAGGTCACAGTCTTGCAGCGAGGCTTGGGGCAGTTTGGGGGCATTAGAATCAAGCGATTGAAGAGTAGTGACAGGCGGAGGAGAGGTGGGTATAAAATCGGCCTGCCCTGGTAAGGTTACCTGAGCCGCTGGTGGAGATGTAGGCAGCTCTGGCGCAGGGGCAGCAGCAGAAGGGTGGGATGGTAGGGATGGAAGAGATGGTAGTGATGTTGGGGGACATGAGGTATGAGAGGGGCTGAGGGGCATCTGTTGTGCAGGAAAGACAGCATGGGGCAGGATAGGCTGTTCAGCAACAGGTGTCTCAGTGTGTGTCTGAGTGTGAGAATGAGCTTGTGTCTGAACGTGTGTCTGTGTTTGGGAGTGTGTTTGGGCCTGAATGCTGGTTTGTGTGTGTGTGTGAGCTGGCAGCATCTGCTTGGCTTGGTGCTGCGGAGACGAAGGGGCGCCTGCCACTAGATGACTATACCGGGGCTGGGTCTTGTTCTGGGACTGAGGCCCGGCCACATTACTGGGGACTATCTGTGCAGCGGAATGGGTCACCAGATGTGAAGCAGGTGGACCCTGCGGGGGCAGCTGACTCTCATCGAGGGGTATCGTAGCCTGCTTTGGAGGAAGTGGTTGCTGGATGGTAGTTGGGATGGGCTGTGCCAGTAACTGGGCCTGTGAAGCTAGTGGTTGATACACTTGAGAAAGATTCTGTAGCTGTTGCTGGTATTGGCCAGTAGGAATAGTAGGCTGGGAGATGGGCTGAATGACTGAAGGGTCAGCAGTGCTTCCTAGGGGTTGCTGCTGGGCCTGAACAACTGGATGTAGTGTTGTTTGGCCCGAAACATAGGCATGTCCAGCCTGCTGCACAGGATGAGAAGCGGCAACAAAGTTAGCAGGGTCAACTACAGAACTGAGACTAAGATCTGCTGTAGTTCCAACACTTCCAGCTGGGCCAGGAGACAGAATCATCTGCTGATACTGTAGTAGTGGGTCTTGCTGCTGCTGCTGCTGCTGCTGCTGCTGCATAATATGAGTTATATCCTGTTGTCCAGATACCATGGCTTGGTGGGTAGGCTGGGGAACATACTGAGGTGCCAACAGGCTGGCAGCAGCCTGAACATGCACCTGGATAGGTGGCTGGCCTTGTGTTTGTTGCTGGAGCTGGGCCTGCATGAGCCCTGGCATCTGAGAATTTTGCTGAACAAGAGTCTCATGTTGGATCTGACTGGGAATTGAGGCAATTGCAGCTGGAGGCTGGACAGCAGCTTGGCTTTGTTGGCCCATCATCTGAATGTCCACAGTTGGGCCCTGGCTATGTGGTGGCTGGGACTGACTAATTGTCAGTTGCAGAGGCTGAGTCTGGATTAATGGCTGAGCAGTTACCTGGCTCTGTGTGTGAGTGGCAGGTCCTGCATAACTAGGCTGTAAAGGAATTTGCTGGGTCTGGATGACGTGGGTCTGTCCCTGGATCATTGCTGCTGGAAGAGTCGCTTGGGCCTCAGTCATAGCTTGAGGTGCTTGGACTGTAGACTGGGCTATAAATTGGACTGGGACCTGACCCTGGTTCTGGGAATGGGCCTCACTTTGTCCTTGCTGGGTAAGAACTTGAGCTGGGACAACAGCAGACGTCTGGACAGGGATCTGTGTAGTCTGATTGGCCATGAGGACCTGGGCCTGTGAGGCTTTTTGAGTTTGGTGCTGAATCACCTCAGTGCCGGCAGGAGCTCCAACTGAGATATGTGGTTCCATTACTGAGGTATGATGCTGCGGCTGGGCAATAAATACTTGCTGCTGCTGGATCAATGCTGCGTGCTGTTGTTGCTCTATCACTTGCTGCTGTGTGAGAGTGGTATGAGGTGCAAGCTGGGTAGTGTTTAGCTGTGGGATACACACATGCTGTATATCACTTGTTTGCGGCTGAATCTGCTGCTCACTGTTACTTTGTGGAATAGGCACAGCTTCTTGTTTCTCAGTTTTCTGAAGCTGAAGGATGGCTGCTTGTTGCTGCTGCTCTTGAATCTGTTTCTGTAACAGAGCTTGTTGCTGTAATCTCTCTGCTTGTTGTTGTTGCAACAGGACTTGTTGCTGACGCTGTTGTTCTAACTGTTGCTGCAACAGAGCTTGCTGTTGCTGCTCTATCTGCTGCATGAGTTGTACCTGTTGCTGCTCTTGTTGCTGTTGCTGTAGCTGAGCTTTCTGTTGTAGCTGGTGCTGTTGTAAAATAGCCTGCTGTTGCAGATGCTGTTGTATTAGTGCTTGTTGCTGTTGTTGTTCTATTTGTCGGAGTATGGCTTGCTGCTGCAATTGTTGTTCCGTTTGCTGTTGAGTCTGCTGAGGCTGCTGCTGCAATACAATCTGTTGCTGCTGTTGTCCACTTTGTTGTTGCTTCTCTGGTTCTTTTTGTGTTCCAGCTTGGGGTTGTCCAATTTGTTGATATAACTGGCTCTGCTGCTGTTGCTGTAAAGTCGGCTGTTGTTGTTGCTGCTCTAACTGGTGTTGTAAAAGCGACTGTTGTGGTTGTTGTTGTTGCTGCTCTTGCTGTTGAATGAGAGCTTGCTGCTGTTGTTGATCCAACAATTGCTTGTGTATGAGTGCTTGCTGCTGCTCCAGTTGAAACTGATTTAATTGGGCCTGTTGTTGTTGCTGCTGTTGAAGCAACGCTGTTTGTTGCTGTTGATCAACCTGTTGCTGGACGTACGTCTGACGTTGTTCAAGCAGTAAAGCTTGTTGCTGTTGCTGTTGTAGCAGAGTTTGCTGTTGCTGAAGCTGTTGCTGCAGTTGTTGTGGTTGTATCATGGTCTGCTCACGAGGATCCCCTGTTGGTTGCTGTTTATAAGTCTGAGGTTGTTCCCCTGGCTGTGGTAATGACATAGCTCGCTGCTCCATACCTGTTTGTGTAGGTAATACTTGCTGCTGAGGAATTGTGTGGACAGGAGGAACAGGCTGCTGTACATAGATCTGCTGCTGAGGCTCATGTTGATGTTTCTGGACAGCTGAAGTTTGAAGGTTTTGTAGATGATGCTCCGTTGGTGGCTGAGTGGTACCAACTTGTTGTTCGAGCAGAGTGGCCTGGGCCTCCATTTGCTGTTGCTGCTGCTGCTGAAGGGTGGAGGTCTGGGGATCCATCCCTATCTGTTGTTGTTGGACAATAGTCTGCTGAGGGATCATGACAGGCTGTGTTTGCTGGGGTGCTGTCTGGGGAATGATGTCAGTCAGCTGCATGGGAGTGGCAGGGGGTTGGGTCTGCTGAGCGAGGGGCACAATGGTCCCCGCTAGTCCAGCAGGATCACTGACTGACATGGATGTAGTGAGAACATTAATGGGTGCTTGTGGGGAAACAGGGGGTATGTATGACTGTGAGGGGGCCATTGACCCATGGGGTGTGGCAGTTTGAAATGCATCTGATGGGAATGTTTGTGACTACTCAGTGATAATGACAGAATGATGATTGGTGTTGAAAGAAAAGGAAAAAGAAAGCAGTAGAAAAATTAGGTAAGAATAAGCTTTAGCAAGGAGCATCAATTATCAACACATTTAATTTTAAACAACAGGGTTTCCCACAGTGTTTTGTAGCTGAAGTGGGCTGCCTCACCGGAAATACACACTGATCAGCTAAAATTAGAAAAAGTAAATTGAAGTAAAACATTAACCATCAGGTGAAAAGAACAGAGGTACAATTCACACAGCAGGGTTATACAGTACATTTAATGAGAGGCTATTAGACAATTTCACCACCTCTGCTAACTAATTTCCTGGGGGAAACCCTGTACAGCATACAGTCAGATTGTCAATCTCACAGGATTATGAGGATTATTTGTGGTTGGGTAAAAAGTTATTTGAGGGGAAAAAAAACAAAATGTGACAGAGTAATGGAACCACAACTTTACTTCCATTAACAACAATGCTAAATGTTGTAGCTCCAGTGTAAATATGGCTTCCATTTTAATACAAATTAGTATCATCACCCTTTTCACCTGAAAATATTGTTGAGGGACACTTGCTGATACCTGTGGAACCATGGTACTGGACTGAAGAAAAGTCTGACCCACGGGTCCCCCTCCACTGTGGCCTATGGACATGCTGGACATACTAACACTCTGGCCAATAGGCACATTTGGAACCCCTCCACTCTCTCCAATGGAGACCATTTGAGGATGAGCCAATGCGCCAGTGCTCTGTAGTGCAAGAAAATAATTAATTTGATTTATCATTACAGTTTTAAACAATGATTAATCAACTAGTTTGGTGTATTTTATGAATAAAGTGAAAACAATGCATAGACATACAGATGCCGTAGGGGGGAAAGTAGTCTGGGAGTGAGTGTATGATTCCCCTTGCTGAGAGTATGCTTGGCTTTGTCCACTTGCATAGGATTCACAGCTGGCCGACCCAATGCTCTCGCCTTTTGAGTGAAAGACAATTAAAAAAATGAAGATGAAAAAAAGAATAATATTATTTACCAGGTATTTTACAATGTCAATTATCAGCTCAACTATACCATAAATGTTCATACTCTACCTGGCAGACTAAGGGTTGTCCCACTGAAAATATGTTGCTGCCTGACATGCTGGTCCACTTCAGGCAGCTCCTCAGACTCTTGACCCCCTCCTACTCCTCCTCCTCCTCCTCCTACACCTCCTCCTCCTCCCATTCCTCCTCCTCCCACTCCTCCTCCTCCCACTCCTCCTCCTCCCACTCCTCCTCCTACTCCTGTCTGTCCAGCTGCCCCTGGCCCCAGTGAGGACGGGCAGGATGGATGAGAAAAGGTGTAGGAGGTGAGAGTGGAGTCTCTTCTTTCTTCAAAGCCCTGCTGCTGCTGAAGGAGCTGCTGCTGTCGACGCTCCCGTGACTTTTTGATCAGATTTACCCGATCCCGGATGGATTTTCCCACCACCTTGGCATCACTCTCATGGAAGAATCCTGACTTCACCTGAAAGGGTGGGAAGGAGGGAGGGTGGGCGAGAGAGAGAGGGAGAGAGAGAGAGAGAGACTTATTAACGTCTAAAAGTAGGCTGACGGAATCTAGGTCAGCAGGAGGTGCTTTGAAATGGCTGATAAATGAGCTGAAGGATTTTCCTCACCTGACCCTCTTTCAAAGCATAAAACCTTTTTCCCAGTCTACCCTATCCCACACTGGACACTCATAAACGCTGTTTCTACTAATCAGAATTGTCCTTGTGTCCTCACCATCTCTAGAGCCACTTCCTCAGCACTATCATTCTCCAGGTCATAGCTGAACTCGATGGCCTCATTGTCTTTGTGCTTCCCTTTTAGCTTTTTCGGCTCTTCAACCCAAATCCGGAGAGCCAGGCAGTCCTGGATGCCTGTGTCCTCTTCTGCCAGCTCCACCCGGACCCCTGTGTCCTCCCCGAAGAATGCATGGTTGAGGAGGTCTCTGATGGAGAGTCTGTCAAGGGAACAACAACGAAAGGAGCAAGGATGGTGAAACAGGCATCAGAATGTTTTATAATTGCCGATCAGGAATTCTGCATGAGACCAGTCAGCATGTGATGTTATGAAAGTAAAACCTGCTCACCTCTGGCTCTTGTTCTGACGGATGCAGCCTTCAATGATCTCTTTGATTTCTGGGTCATTCACCTTATCAAAGCTGGCTGGCTTTATACCCTGCATAAAGATAAATAGGAATTATGGAATTAGGTTTTAGGATATTTTATATAATCACTGACAACATTTTCACCATGGAGCCAGATAGATGGGGTTGCATTTAAAATAACTACCAAATCCTAAGGTGTACACATTTCATCACCACAAATGTGCTGAGTAATGTAGTCGAAGAAACTCACGCTTGTGACTTTGCGATAGATCTGGGCAGCATTTTGGCACTCAGAGTAGGGGTATTCTGAAGTGGCCATCTCCAGCATGCACATCCCAAAGGCGTAGACATCCACAGACTCATCATAGTGCTCCTCATACATCTCTGGAGCCATGAACTCCGGGGTTCCTATTAGAACCAGATAAAAGCAGAACTGCTAAAATACTATTTCACCACTTTTAATGTTTATAATTTTTGTTTACTGTCACATAACACTGTTCACAGAGCACTAATGCCCCAAAGTCAATGGAAGAATTGAAATTCAATTCAAACTCTAATAACAATCTTCCTGGTCATTGCTCTTGCTTCCTGGGTTAAACTTTATTGAGCTAAATAGTACTCACAATGCATTGATTAAACAGGCACGCAAAGCCAACATCTCATCAGTGGTCTCTGTTTACCTTAAGTGCTGCCCATATGGATTTTAGAGCAACTCTGTCAATAATGATCTATAGCCCTCTGTAAAAATCTGAACAGTGCTTAATGCAAAGAAAAGAGGACTCAGTTTGCTGATGTAGGTACTACGCGGTACTGTTCTCGAAAGTAGCTGGTCTACTTATGTAGCCTACCTATGACACTCTTCGCAAAGGAGGTCCGCATAAGAGTGGCCAGTCCCAGGTCACCTATCTTGACTGAGCCCGTGGGGCCTGTTATGAAGATGTTGTCACACTTCAGATCCCGGTGGACTATTGGAGGAGTCCTGGTGTGAAGGAAGTGAAGGCCCTTCAGGATTTGCCTACACCAACTCCTCAGGACCTTGGGTTTCATGACCTTAAAGCGCTTCAGGTAACTGCAGAGAGTAAAAAATACTATAATCAACCACGCTGATGCTAGATCATCATCATGTCATGATAATGGTACATGCAACTTCAGTTGAATCATTCTAAATTTGAGATTATACATAATGAAATTAGTTTGATTAGATTCATTTTCGCCAAGATAAGTGTTTTGCGGTAATTATAAACTCTATTAATCAAAATGTTTTCTTCCATGTACATACAGCAACTGAAATGGAAATCTCCCACCAGTATTCCTTGCTTAAGCTTTGAGCCATGTTATTTTTTTGTGAGACTGAGCAGCACTGCCAAATATTTACTGAACAATGGAGCCATGTGTCGATATTTGCTAACGATGAAGGCACGTTTACAGCTATTTTGTTTGTACTGAAGCTAAAATTAACACTGCTGCAGATGACATCAGTCAGAGAAACTACATTACATTTTCTAGACCTTTCATAGACATGTAAATAATGATGCATGCTATATATCAGCGTTGCTGTTCCTACTATTTAACTATTTGCAGTACAGAGCATTTAATTAAAATAACATTTTAAATTTAAAAAGTAAATGATGTAACAATAGTGATTTGTCATTGAGTGAAGAATGAAAGATATAAAAATGTTGTGCTAACGTTTTGAGTGTTCCCGAAGTCATGAGTTCAGTGACCAGTACGATGCACTTCTTGCCACGCAGCACAGACTCCCAGGAATCATAGAAGCGGACGATGTTGGGGTGCTGAAGCCCCTTCAGCATCTCGGCCTCCTCCTTAAAGCGTTGCTGCTCCGCCTTGGTCAGCTTGCGGTCCTGAGGTGAGAGGTACACAGTAAGTTATATGGCATGAATGTGAACAAATTAGCTGTAGAGAGCCTTTCCTGTATACTGGCTGGCAAACACTGCTTCATTCACTTCCATAAGCAATCCAAAAATGCTGTCACACAATTTTCTTTAGAGCCCCAAAACATCATGAGGCTACCTGACACTACACACCCATGACTGCTCACTAACACCTACTGCCACTAGATGGTACTAGCAACACAGAGGTGCTGCAGTGTTGAGACAACACCCAAGCTGTAGCTTTATAAAACACATTTGTACTGCACCTGCCACACATCCCCAGTATGGCGGACAGAATGGACGCGGGAGAAATCCACTGAAACAGGCAGCATCCCACAGGAACATAGACAGCCACTGACTAATACCTCTGTTAAACACTGGTGCATAGGTTATTTATAAAACCTAAGACTCATACATGTAATGCAGTGCAGGTGCTCTGTCCTCAAATTAAGAAAATAATTATTGTATTTTGTCTTCTATTATGTCTTTTATTACTTGTGTATTCTTATGTATTCCTCTGTTTCTTCTATTTTCTAAAACCCTTGGTGCCCTCACTAATGACATATGCTGTATTCAGACAGAAAATACACATTATTTTAAATTCTCTGAATATCAAGTCAATAGGAAATTGTTTTAATAAATGCAAATGGTGTGATGGTGATATAATATTGAAGAATCAAACACAATGCTCACAGTCAAAGCATTTTACACTGGAGTAAATCCTGACTAGCCCCACTAAGACAGTGCATATTTTTAGACTTGTCACAAGCAACTGTTGTTGTGTGCTATATCCATGTGTACAAATAACAAAGCATCTCAGGTCCGTCGTCTTTCGACCTTTGTTGACCTTGCGTCCTGCTGTTCATGGGCATTATTTGATGGTACTGAAAAAATGTAAACGAAAATACACTTCATTGCCATATCTCTGTACTGTATCTAACAACAGGCAACCTTAAACCATTTATGTAAATACAAAACCAACAGAAAACAAAACAGTGTGTTTGACTCAATATCTGTGAGGGAGTCGGATGGCAGACGTTGTGTCACAAACAGTCCTCACTATAAATAGAAGTCATCATAACACTGGCTTTCCACTGATCGATTCCATTGATATTAAGCTTTTTGCTCTACACAAAGCTCCTCAAATGGAGGCGGTGTGCTGCAAATGTTTTGGATGCAAATAAACATATTTTCATGTAACACAGTTTCTCTGTCCCTATTTCTTTATTGCGTGCCTCAGCTTTTCTTTCCCCGTGTCTGTGTTTCATCTTTACATATATCTTTTGCTCTCTGTGTCTATACTGGTTCAGTGTCCTTTTCTGGAAGTACTGGTGAAGGCAATCCCTCCACCCCTCCCCTCTCGACAGGGAAGTAGCATCAACAAAAAGGCTGCTCCTCGTTGCACTATTATGGCTAAGAATAAAATGCCAAGCCTAGGTCCACCCTCATGCTCTCATTCCTTTAACACCAACTACCTCATTTTGTTGTGTGTTTGCATGCCCTGGCAATTGTGTGTGTGTACCTGACCATGATCAGGTGTGTCTAGCCATGCTTACAGTTCCTCTACGCATATGAACATGTGCCTTCTTTCTGATGTGCTCTGTTTTGTCAGGAAGCACTGCCTCTGTTTGGATGCCTCTGTCCTCTGCCTCACTCCTCCATCAGAGCATCACTCTGCCTCGCTGTCTGGCACAGTGTGAGACAGAGTGCTTGCCTGTGTGTCCCTGTCTGCTGCCTCCTCAGCGATTATTGTGTCTCCCCCCCGAGTGTCGCATCAGACAGCCTTAGGGTCGGCAAAGGTCGCCAAGAGTTCAGTCAGTGAGATTGTGTCTAGACAGGCACACACAGAACTACTCTCCATCCACATAGCTACTCACACACGCCCAAACACTCCCATATTCACACAAACAGAGGCACAACAACAACAAAAAGATCTGTAGAAAATGTGTCACTTATTTTAGGTCCTCTTCCCATTACCAAGACTGTTTAACACACCCAGATACAATTACTGCATTTAGGATGTGTCACTCATATCGACCTATATGATAAACAGAAGTGAATACTACTTAATAAACTATTGAAAATGATGGTAATAATCTGGAATTGTATGCTATAGAACAGCAGCTTACAAAAACTGATCTGACAAACAAAGTGGCACAGAAGAACAGTCTCTTAACCATCAGATGGAAACGGGGAAGCAACAGAAACAAACAGACAGAAAGTGAGGGAGACAAAGGGCAGCTCAGGAGACCATGACACAGCCCTAATGTGACTGGTCGGTTCTTTGTTCCTGTTAATAAGCCTGCCTGTTCTCCAGTTCTGCAACCTCATGAAGTAAATACTCTCACTTTTCAACACACAGTAAGAGAGAATAAATATAATAATTTGCAAATATCATACATACATATGCGTATGTGGTTATATGTGTATGTAAATGCCAAAAGGCTGTATCTTGGACTTCTGGGGGCAGTTATCCTAACGAAATACCTTAGACTGTAAACAAGGCAGCTACAAGGCGCTGTTTTTTTACTCTGTATGTATCCTATAAGCTATACGTTTTTATGAATGAAATGAACAAGAACACCAGAAAATATAATGCAATTCAAGAAGATTTTAATGTTACATTTTTGTTAAGATTGTGTCAGAGGTATGTTGTTTCAGCTCTATGGCAGTTTTTGAGACTGTTGTTTGCTGTATTGTTATATCAGACTGCACTATAGGGATTGATTTTACTCTTATTTTAGCAACAAAAGGTGGACAAACAGGATCACCTTACAAAGTCAGGAAACCCTTTTGATACAGCCGTAAATACTGAACATTAGAAATGTATTACAAATGTACTATTTATTGCAGAATAATTGTAATAATAATAATACTTTGTTCCTGTTATTTTGTCCACACCAGCTTGGTCATATAATATTCTTGTCACATGGTGCCTCCATGACAGGGGCCTAAATACTATAACTCGGTAAACAGAGTAGGACCTACAGTTAGATAGAGATTTTTTTGGATCCGACATCTGGTAGAGCAGAAGGTCAAGCTGCAGGTTAAGTAGCCTCATAAAACAGGAAATGTACAGGATATGGCTTACAAGGCACATTTGGTAGAAGGTAAGATGATGGGGTCATGAATGCCAAAACATGTGAGTCCTAAAACATCTATTTTGGCAAACACTGCATGAGTATCAGATATCATACATACATACATAGAAGACGAACTGGCTTTCCTAGTCACACTCTTGTCTGAAGTAGCGGTTTGAAAAACAGGGCTGGTTAAGGGCACTATCGACAAATAGAGAAGAATTTTTCTTGCTGTAGGTTAGTATTTGTACATTTTTATGAGGAGTATGTATGTAGTGTGTATGGCCCTGCAGTATGGAAAAAAATCTGAGGTGGCGGGTGGCTAGGATTAGATTACTGTAAACTACAACAGCTCAGACTGACAAAATAGATTGCTGGAAAAGGGCTGGCCGTCACGCTGGATTAGAACCTGTGGCCAGTAGGCCAAGTTCACTAACCTTCAGAGACCCTTTAGCCAATGCACTGCACTAGCCATTTCTTTTTAGGTGACCACTTGTTAGCATGAGATCTTCATATCTCGATGTTTTAAAGCTACGGTACCTGCGTTTTGCAGTTGCAAGGGCAACTTCAGTGAAGTCTAGCTGGTCAAATGGAAACATTCACTTGCATCGAAGATACACAACATCTCGGTTATGTTAAAGCCAAGAAACCTCTCATTTTATAGTGTAAATACTCAGAGGCTTCCCTTTTGTGGCACTCTTTTTTGTAATATGCTTTAACATATAATAATCATGTCATAATAATTTGATCATAAGTGCTTCACATTTATTGAATTCTAATTAGGCTATACATACTACCAGTGCTATGTGGTAATGTCTCAAACATCCAATAGCAATTGAATCTCTGGTTGCCGGTTAGGTAATGTGGACACAGCCTGAGGGACACTTGCCAACTGTCAGTGGCCTAGTTGAGCATGCGTCAGGTCAGACTGGTTGGATCGATTCCATCCCGGTCTAGTCAGTTCAGCTGTAGCCCATTTGATTTTGCCTCTCCTAATTTTAGTCACCCATCAATAGTCTGTCTTTGCTTTACCTTGACTAACACAACTGGTCTTTGATAATCAGCAACAACCAAGGTAAACTCCTCCCTTTTGCTGTTGCTATTTGATACAATGACCCAGAGAATTGTGTCCAGAATAAACACAATTTAATTTTAAAACATAATCAAAATGAATAAATATTAGTTTTCACATAACATTGTTCATCATCTACATCTACATCAGAGCCTGCATTGACTGCTTTTATTAAAAGATTTTTTTTTTTCCAAACATGAGGCAGATGATATCTCAACCTTGTGAATGGCTCAATAATCATGATGCCAGCTACTGAACTGGGGATCTCAGGTGTATATAGGTGAACAGGCTTGCACGCTGAACTATAATGTAAATGTTACTCTTAATCGTGTCAAAGTCCAAGTTCTCTAATGGCCTTAGTAAGGATAAGCCTTTTTACTCAGAATCATGTCATGGTGTTTGCAGCAGGCAAGGCCCTGAGCTGCCATTTATCTGCAGACATAAATCCAAAAGCCTCTGTAACAATACATGTTAAATCAAACATCAAATATTTAAGGCGGCAATCATTATCATGACAACTCTCAGTACTGCAGACCTGAGCTCTAGTGTTTGTAGTTCCTGTAAGTGTGGCTTGGCTGAGCTGATTTGAGCTGGACCAGTCTGGGATGACTGGGTTGAACCAGTCTGGTTTCTGCTGCCCGAGTTATGCTGTCTGTGCAGGGTTTTTGTTCCAGCCTAACAGGCACCCACTGTAATTAACTCCCCTGGATCACTCTGCATGCTCACTCACACAGACAAAAAGTGATGGAGGGAGAGGTGGAGGGAGGGAGGGAGGG